TAAAACGATTGCTCCTCACCAAGAATTCCACACAATCCACGAAACTCTCCCAATTATCGTGCAATAGTGTGAGCCGAACATCTTCTTTCATTAACGAAAGACTTTCTTGGATAAGGCCAAAAGGAAAAAATACCAAACAGAGACGCTCACAGAGCGCCCAGCGATTCTCCATAAATCGCAGAAATTCACGATTAACGTCACCAGAAACGGCACCATTGCCACGTGGAAAAATGATTGTCACCCTTCATTCTTCATTCTTTTGCACACTAGGATCGCATCATACATTGAGAGAAGCGAGCCAGTGACGCTTGATTCTCTATTGAAATCGAAGTGTATGTGTTCCAAAGGCTTTCTATTATTGAGCGGCCAAAACCTCCGGACATCAAATTTTGGCAAATCAAAACCCTTTTCAATACAGCGTATTTCCAAATAGGAGAAATGTGCGAGCTTTCGAAAAAGTCGCCCGTGAAGGGGATTCACTCGCACGTTGTCCGTAACTCGTCCGTACCTACCCAAGTCGCTCATGAAAGAATTATCTTCTTGTGAGATACGGTGATAGGATATATGAATGCCAATCACACTTGCCACAATCCGTCCGTTGTCCTCATCTGTCATTCTGGCGTCGAACAGCATCACTGCAACACGTTCGAGATCTGACGAGATTGGCCCGCAGAATAGGACGAATGAGCGCAGATCGTGATTCACTTTCAGCAATGGAAGTGCCTCAAACGCCCTCAATTTATGCAGAATCCGTGTTTTGAGACGAGACGGCAAAGAAGGGAAGCTTTGGAAAGTCATCAATTTTTTTGTTTCCAAAAAGTTATGTATTTGGATGATTGGAGGGCTGAGACCAGATGTGAAATTTTCAAACCGAAGGCAAAATAGAAATACAATTACGTTCGCGCCATTTGCTCCGGGAATTTTCCTCGCCTTCAACCCTCCAATCATCCAAATACATAAATTTTTGCCTAACAAAAAAATAGATGACTTTCCAAAGTTTCCCTTCTTTGCCGTCTCTTTTCAAAACACGGATTCTGCATAAATTAAAGGCGTTTGAGGCACTTCAATTGCTGAAAGTGAATCACGATCTGCGCTCGTTCGTCCTATTTTGCGGGCCAATCTCGTCCAATTTCGAACTTGTCACAGTGTGGCTGTTCAACGCGAAAATAGATAAGGATAACGGACGAATTGTGGCAAGTGCGATTGACATCTATTTATTCTATCACCGCATCTCAGAAGATAACTTTCGGCTTTCTTTTGAGAGCTACGAGATCTTGACCGGAAGAGGTATGACCGTGCCAGTGAATCCCCTTCACGGGCGACTTTTTCGAAAGCTCGCGCATTCCGCCAATTTGGAAATACGCTGTCGTGAAGAGGGAACGAGTTCCCCAAAATTTGATGTCCAGAAATTTTTGCCGCTCAATAAGAGAAAGCCTTTGGACCACGTATTCTTCGAATTCACTAGAGATTTAAGCGTGGCTCGCTCGCTTCTCTCAATGTATAATGCGATCCAAGTGTGCAAAAACGTGAGAATCACTTTTCCAGGTGGCAATCGTGATGTTTCTAGTGATGTTGATCGTGAAACTCTGCGATTTATGGAGAATCGCTGGGCGCTCTGTGAGTTTCTCTGTTTGCAATTTCTTCCTTTCGAACTTATCAAAGAAAAGCTTTTGTTAATGAAAGAAAATGTGCGGCTCACACTATGGCACGATAATTGGGAGGACTTCGTGGATTGTGTGAAATTCGTCGTGAGGAGCAATCATTTCAATGCTCGTCTTCTCATTGTATGTTCTCAGGTTCAAGTGAACAGGGGGGATCTCAGATACGAGCTACTCACTTCTATATTTCTTCGGGCTCACATTCCGCTCGTTAAGAAGGAAGCAGTTGGGGAGGATCGCGAGATCCTTTACTTTCAGCCTCCACACGCTTTTTGCTATAAAATAGATATAGACGGTTTGTGTACTCTAGAGAAATTCTTTTATTGAATTGAAGAAATTTTATATTTTTTTTATTTTTTTTTGAAGAAATGTTGTTTAAATTTAATGTTTGTTAAAAACTGTCATTTCTTTTCATCAACCGAGTAAAAGCTCACACTTTTTCATCACGATACTATGAACCATTCAAAGTCAACTATTTCTATTCACTTTTTTACATTTCTCTTCTGATTCATTCAAAAAAACCTCGTTATAAACTCAAATACGTTAAGCCCACGGTCAAATTCGGCGGTGGGAGGATGTTGTGGGGTAGATGTTCGCCCTATTTTTCACTTACCATTTTTCTTTTTTAGGCTCGTTGAATCGAAGTGTACCGGGCCCGCGATTGTTTATCAATGGAAATTTCGATCCTCAAAGGTACAAGTCAATCATAGAGCACAACTTACTTTCATTTGCAAAGCTAGATTCTTTTATTGATCGTTAAGTTGTGCAATTTCATGGTATATCTCTCATTTTCTCAAGTTTCTCATTTCAGCCTTTTCTGATTACTACTTGACAGCTAGATCCTTAAAGTTTATTCACTGAAAAAGAATGTGATTTTTAGGGCGAATATGTGACGAATAAATAAATGACGCTTGATTTCCTTACTCTCAAACGAGCAACTCACTTCTATCTTCCTTGAAGCTCACATTCCACTTGTTGAAAAGATAGTACCTGGGGAGAATCGCGAGATCCTTTACTTTCATCCTCCACACACTTTTCGCTATCGAATTAACAGCTGCCACAACTGGCATGAATTAAAGAAAAAGGTAAAATGATGGTCACCTTTCCGCACACTTGGATCGCATTAAAACCTCACTAGAAACGTGACGATTGGGTTAGCGATCTGAAAAAACCATTATACTTTCCAGAACCTAGACAAGATTTGAGAATTTGACAAAGACAATAACAAAAACAATTAGGAACTTGATCAGAAAAATTTGTTTCTCTAGATCGATCCTGCTTTTTACTGGACATAAAAGTAGGCGCGTAGGTGATACCTTCTCTCTCCTTTTCCGCAAGAAAAGTGTCTCGTTCTTTAGGCCAAAAGTAAAGATTATTATTCTGTACTCAAATATCTATATTTGTGTTGATCTCAAGCATCTCTCTTCAAGAAAAAAGTAATAAATCTGCCCAGATCTTAGCTCCCCGCCCCCAGTCTTACCATACATTTTAAGGCCAAACGCAACAATGTTGACCATATATGAAAATCTCAAAACATTTCTTCACAAATAACATAAATCAATGATTTATCATACCCGGGTTAAAACGAGAAACGATCATTTAGTGAGGATTGACGATTATTCAAACCATACAAAACCAACAATCAGCATGGCAAAAACCAGCAACTCTCTTTTTGTGGAGCTTTTCCAGCTCAGGCATTGCTCTGACATATGATCGATCGAAGACACCTTCGATCGATCCCAAAAGCCAAATTTTGCTAAATCGATGTTCAATCGATTTAGCATCGACTTGATCGAAACGGTCTTGCCCATCTTTGCAGCCGCTAGTTTTGTTTGTGTCTCGATAGCTTTTCTTTTCTTTTTATCCTCCTCGGCGTGTTCATATTTTCGCTATTATCTTTTCGTTCTTCTTCCGTGTCGACGTTAAAATGCTGCTGTCCTTCTTCAAAATGTCCGTCGAAATCATTGTCTTCCCGCATTCGAAACAGCTCTAAATCGTCAACAACTTCACTCATCGTACCTGAAAATTATAAAATTAGTAAGCGCAAAGACGCATAAAATAAATGAAAAATGATGGCAAATGGAAAAAGCCTTTTTTCTTTTGTCTTTTGTTTCTTCTCAAAACAAGGATTCTGAAGAAATTGAAGGCGTTTGAGGCACTTCGATTGCTGAAAGTGAATTACGATCTGCGCTCACTCGTCCTATTTTGTGGGCCAATCTCGTCAAATTTCGAACGTGTTGAAATGCAGCTGTTCGACGCGAAAATACCTTTTCAGATGCTCTTACGATTTAACATCGAGATTAGGTAGTTTATTGGCTGCAAAATGTTTGCCTCTTTAAGACAGCAAAGTGATTATATCTGACGAATAAATACTGTACAATATAATGAAATGTTAGACGTTTGTTTTAACACAACTTTCAAATTCGAATCCTGACTCAATCGTTGATTCACTTACTCCCAATTAATTTTTCTCGTAAATTTTGGCTCGATTCTGGAACCTACAATCGTGTTTTTAGCTCTCTTACCCAGAAAAAGTTAAGGGTCAAAAACCTCACAAGGTTTTTCGAGGGTTTCCATTGTAAAACTGAAAACGGGGCACCGAATTTCTTGATTTTCCTTGGGTTTCAGAGTCAAATGCAAGGTAATCGATAACCCAATCAAGCTCTATTTGGCAGCATTTGAAAGCTTGAAGTCTCCACTACACGATGACATGAAAAGTTATAAATCATATTATCTCTGGTGAAAGTGGTGAATCCTTGAAGCTACCCATTCCAAGATGTCGCCTGTTTCTGGTAGCTTGAGCGCCTTCTAGCCATCATTGCCCATTGATTACGGTAGCTTTTTTTATTAAATTATGAAAGCTAGAAAGTTTAATACCCTTTTTTTACCCGTTCTCATCTGTACTCCCTTGATAAACTCTTGCGTCGACCATCGAATTCGTGCGTAGTTCACGCAGGCGCATCTAGTTCTTGCCGTCAAATTCGTTCCATTTTAGGTCCTTTTGAAATGTACGTTCTTTTCTTTGACTGCGTCCACACAGCTGACAATGTTGCAGGAGTAACTTCAACTGCTTGAATTAAATCAATACGAAGTCTGGGTCTTCGTGGACGGGATCTTCTCCTTCTTGATGATTTCTTTGGAATCTTGAATGTTCTTTGGTTTTTATGCCGAGTCCCGCTTGTTTCTTTACCTTGATGAAATTTAATATGTTTTGTGACGTGTTTTTTAAAGCATTCCCTTTTCCCCTCGTTCGTTCCCTCCTTTTATATTCTTCTACCCATGCCCTACGTTGAAATTTTGAAAATGGTTTTGTTTTATTTCCCTCGGCTCCTTTCCATTCTAATGTCTTCGAATCTTTCTGTACGTGCCGTATTGCTCGGTCGAACCCTTGTGATGGGCTCTCATCGGGCGCTGCCCTGCACTCTCCGTTTGACACCGACGGACAACTGCAAGAATACTAGAAGGAATCGGTTAGTTTTTTGAGATTTTAGGTTACTAATTTACAGATTAGAATGTTCATATTAGATTAGAATGTTCATATTTAAATGCAAATTTTAAGTACTGTATCCTTTTTCCGGCTTTTCCTATGTTCTCTTTTTCAGTATGGATACACACTTCCACCACAGGATCCCGATTGCTACCCTGGTATCAATTTCCACGGAGTGAGGCACACGTTCTCGTAAGTTTTCCACTTGCAACTGCTTAATTTCAGCTTTATTTTCCAAATTTACATGGTTTCCCTTTAGATCTCCGTATTTCTTTGTGTGGGCGCAAAAGCCAGAGCCAATCCATTTTGTGACCCCAAAGGAGCACGAGAGAAATGTTTGTTTAGAAATTTTTGATTAGATTAGTGGTTTAATAGTCCATGTTGTTAGAGTTCATTCAACATCGCTAAATTTCAGGCATGCAAAGAGTTTCTCGTGTCGTTGAAGAACTGTTGTCAGGGACGAGTGATTGGAGGCTTCGAAGTTGTTGGTGGGTTTAGAGAAAACTTGATAGTCTAAAATTAAACATTTTGTATGCAAAGATAAGATTTCAGCAGCTTGAACACCGTCAAATTTTCCATTTTAGTTAGACTCAAAGCTGGCGAATTGAACAAGTCTGTGGCCTCGTTGCAGCAACGGCGGCAACGAATGCTCCCGAAATTGGTGTGTTTTTATTTTATTATTGATCTCTATAATACGTGAATCTTGAAATTTTTTTCCAATACTTGAAATTCCAATTCTCATAGGACCTATGCTTTTATGAAGCCATTAGTAATTCATTTCCGAAATTTTCAGGGCCCATTTCGACCGGATGTTCCTTTAAGCGGCCGATAAGACGAAAAGAAGCTGAAGCGGCAAGAACAAAGACAAGAAGGATCACAACAAGGCCCAAGACTGCAACAACGAGCAGAAAAAAATACTTTGAGGGCACAAGAAGAGTCACAGCAACGATGACAAAAGAAACAACAAGCCCAAGCAAAGTCTTGCAAGATTCTACAAGCCGCACAGCAACAACAATCACCACTGTCGTCGCCAGAATGGAAACCTTCCGTGAAAGTCTAGGAGAATTCGTCAAGTGAAGAGGAATTCCTGACAAGCAAATTATCGAGTGAGTTTTTTGAATTTTTTTTTGTTTTAAATTTTTGAAACTATGGCTGTAACAATTTCTACCGTCTGTATCCGTAGATTTTAATTTTAGAATCTAGAACTGGGCTTTCAAGGTATAATTTCTCTCTTTTCAGGCTCCCGTACCAACTTGTTGGAGAGTATCAAGCCGATGTCTGGATATCAGAAAGTTTCTCCCGCTGAAGTGGCAAAGTCTCTTCCGAAAAAGTGCGTTTTAGCCAATCTCATGCATTTTGCTTTGTATTGGAGAAGCTTTTTTGCAGATAGATAGAGTCGATTTTGTTAAATTTCAAACGCTTTTCAATACTTTTGTTTAGAGAAATTTCAACGCGAGTTTGACGAGCGATTTAGAGCCACTCGAGAAGAAGAAACGAGGATTTCTGAGGGATTTTCAGCACTCAAATGAAAAGGTATTCAATTAATTATTTGGCAAATTTTTGATACTTTTCTCCAGTACTATATTAAATTTTACCCGAATCTATTTCAAGATATTGGATGCTAAATTAGCAATTTTAAATCTCTAACCATTTTTTTTTTAGAAAATCTGCGCTGGTCCATCAGTCTCCTTGCAAGTTCCACAATCGGCCACTCAACTCACGAAAGAACAGCCGGCTAATAAAGAAATGAAAATTAAACAGGTAAAATTTGCAGAACTTTATCCATATTTCTTGTTTTCTAGGTCTCCTTCTCGAATCTGGCCGCTTCAAAAAGTGTTGCAAATGCCCGTCAAATCGTCTCTTTCGTACAAGCTGAAAAAGAGTTTCGAGGTGGCGGCGAAGGTGAGGGTTTGTAAATTTAGTAAAAGGCAGTTAAACGTGTTGGTTAGAGTTAAGATTTTATCATAGCTTTTTATCGCTTTATGCCCTGCCTGACCTCAAAAACTTTGTATAGTTTAAGTATAGTTTAGCGCCATGCTTATGGCCTAGAGGACCGGTCTGCCTATAAGCGATAGTGAAGAAAGTTTTAAGCCTTGTAAATCGAAGTTGATCAGACACACTACATCCTTTAATGTTTTCATTTATACATCATTGGACACTTCAATGGCCACGAAGAATCTCGGTGATCGTGTTGATGAAGTGAGGCCATTGGAAAGGATTGAGCGAAAGAAAGAGAGGACACCTTTCACGACTCAGACGGCGATTCCGAAAAGACTTGGAGAAACCTTTCAACTCGTTCAAGCGACGCCATCAAAGCCAAAGCCTTTGCTGAAAAAAAAAGAACAGGTAACGTTTAAATTTCAATGATGCAAACAGCTTTAAATTGACTCTTCTAGACCTTTGCCACTGCATTGCCAACCGGGAAAACCCTGAGAACACCGCTGCTCGATCTGAAGAATAAACCGATGCCATCTCAACACTTCTCCCATCCCAGGATTGAGCCTAAAAACGAGAAAGTGGGTTGATTTTTATAAGCTAGAAGTTCCTCGGATTTCGAAAAATTCCTTTTTTATTTTAGACAAACTTTGCCACTCCATTTATGAGGAAGCCGGGGACATCACACGCTTCACGAGTCGTCATGGATGCTCCGAACACTCAACAACGACCACCACCTGGTCGCTCTCAACTCTCACAAGTGAATACCAGAATTGCTTCTACAATTTGGGCTTTCGATAAACTTTATTCTTTTGTGCATTCTCAAGTAAAATATGTGTATGCTTTATTCAGGAGGCGAATAGAAGCGAATCAAATAATCATAACCGCATATAACATATTGCTAAAAATACTTTCACCAAAAAAAGAGAGAAAACTAAAGATAGCACAGTAAGACTACAGTTAGGAAACACAGGTACAAAAAGATTAAATATAGGGCAAGTTTGAAATGGCAATAAGATCTAATTCGTTTATAGATACTTTGAATTTTCCTACAGACGAGAAGATACCGGACGGGAGCTTATTCCAAACCCTACTAATACGGTTCGCAAAAGAATGATAATGGGGATGAGAGCCGACCGAAATTTGATAAGGATGACTACGCGAACTTCTATAAATTTCCACAATTTTCAAGAGGCTTTGAAATTCTGGATGCGACTTAGGGTGGAAAAGAATTTTATAGCAAAAAATAAGATCAAAGTAAATACGGCGATATAAAAGGGGTTTTAAATCAAAAACGATAAGTCTAGTCTCATAATTTGGAATAAGAGTAGAAGGGAAACAACGAGTGTATGTTTTTTTTAGTGAAACGCCGTTGGACATTTTCAACCAAGGTGATAAGTTTCTTAATGGAAGGTGGCCAAACGATGATGGCATACTCGAGCAAAGGCCGGCAATAGGTCATAAAAGCCCTGCGATAAGTCGCGATTTGAGGGAAACAAATGGCGCGAAGAATTATCTTAGAAATTCTAGAAGCTTTTTTGGATACGTAGTTCATGTGAGGATCAAATTTTAGAGAGGGAGCTAACAGTATACCAAGATCTTTTACAGGATCATCGGCCAATCCTTGTGGTAATTGTAGGTCGCCCAAATTTAAAGGGATATGTAATGAACCAAATGCAACGTGTTTGCATTTGTCCGGCGCAATGCTAAGTTTTCAAAATTTACTCCACAGAAGGATCGAATCAAGATCCTTCTGGAGAAGAGTAAAATCAGGGATGGGGCTCTGGGACGAAAGTACCCTATAAATTTCAAGGTCATCGGCGTAGAGTCGGACTTTCGTGCCTAGGGAGATCGAACTGTCAATGTCATTAATATAAATGAGGAAAAGAAGGGGACCAAGAACGCTCCCTTGGGGGACTCCGCTACTAATGGGAAAGTCATTCGAAAAGGTAGAGCCTAAGCGGACGCGAAATGTCCTTTCGGTAAGCCAATTTGCAATCCAATTAGTGATGGATATGGGGAGACTTAGTGAATTTAATTTGGCGATTAAAAATCTATGATTAACAGAATCGAATGCTTTGGAAAAATCAATGAAAACGCAGCTAGTTTCATCGTTTTTGGCTTTAGCTAGAAGCCAGTCATGCGCGCAGAGAACTAGCTGGTCGGAGGTAGAGCGGTTTTTAAGAAAGCAGAATTAATTTTTATCAATTAGATTATGTTCATTTAGATAATGAATAATGTGGTCGCGAATAATTATTTCTAAGACTTTACAAATGGAGGAGGTGAGCGCGATGGGTCTATAATTTGCAAGCGCGTTCCGATCTCCTTTCTTAAAAAGTGGCGAAATTGTTGAGTCTTTCCAAAATTTAGGGATCTTAGCCGTTAGAAGTGACAGATTAAAAACTTTAGCAAGTAGTGATGCTATTTGAAACTTAGTTTTCCGTATAACAAAAGAGGGAATTCCGTCTGGGGTGTAAGAAATCTTATTGCTAAGCTTACTAATTGCTGTTTCGACAAGTCTTGGTGTGACGATTAGGGCTGCGCAAGTATGTGCTGGGGCGGGAAGAGCAGGGATGCAACTACCAGCGTCAATTACGAAAACGCTGGAGAAATATTGAGCAAAGGAATTAGCAATTTTGTGATTTTCGAAAATCAACGAGTTGCGAAGGGGATCAAATATACATTTAATAGAGGAATCGTGGTTTGGGTTAATCTTAGAATAGACGTATGAGTAAAAAGCTTTGGGAATAGGACTAAAAACGGCTTTCCGTTCAATACTGGCCTCAAATTTTTTGACAAACTTAGTTAGCTTGTTTTTAGATATGCGTAATGGGGGGAATCGCGATAGCGCCAAGCTGTTTCTAACCTTTGCCTAGCTCGAGATATGTGACTGGGGTAAGAAAAGGTAGACCTGGTTGAAATAGGTACATTTTCGTCCAACAGCGATTCCATCTCTTCAAAGAAGTCAGCACAACACTCGTTTATGTCCATCTCCAATCGGGGAAGAAACCTTGCATTGTAGAGCGCTAAAGAAAGACATACAGCACCGAAATTACCTCTCCAAAAGGCACGGTTACCATCATCCGGTCCTTTTAGAGAGGTAAAATGATGCAGAATTGAATTAAAAGACATAGAAAAATGGTCGGCACTACCAATGGGAGGACATGGTGAAATAGCAAAAATTAAATGAGGGGAATCGGTTAAAACCAGGTCGAAAATATGCGAACTTTTCCTGAAAGTAGGGAATTTGTTTCAAATTTCTAAGCTGACAGGAAGTTTTCTAAATGTGGAATGTGAAATGTGGAATGTTTTCTAAATGTGAAATGTTTTTAACATGTGGGGGACGATAAACAATAAAGATACGCGAGGGGGAATCTGAATGAGCGAATATATCAACAATGATTATCTCGCAACCTTAAACTGATTGACTAGTAACAGGGATAAAGTTATACAGTCATGTGCAAAAGCCTTTTAACACTCAATTTTCTAAAAAGTTACATCGATTTTCTCTGATAAAGTTCATGGCGCTCTTCAGGCTGTCAATAGTTTTAGTTACACAAATATATGTACAATTTATTTACACAAACGCTGTCCCTAAACAAAACTTCCTCATCGAGAAAAAAATATAATTGTCAAAACAGCCCTGAAAATCGTGAGTCTCGAATTTCTTCACGAGCCAATTTTTCTAGTCTTACAGAACTTGTAGAATTCGGACTTCTTGCTCAAACTTGTAAACGCACTCCTTTCTGGTGCACCGAATTCATTCATTTTCCTTGGGTTTCAGAATTAACGCTACGAAAGCAATATTGCAAAACAGAATGAAAGAAAGGAAAAACGAAAGAAATCGAGAATCCTTCCACGTCTATGCCTTCCGACCTCACTTTCGTCAATCCTTTTCCCTTTTCTTTGCCATTCACCGATTCCTTGAAAACTATTATTTTTAATGCATTTATCTATAAACCCAGTGGACATAAATTTGGAAACTTTCATTAAAATCTCAAGTATATTACTTTTTTGTTCTATTTTTATATTTTTAAGCCTCTACTAATTTTTTTAACTTCTGTTTATAGATAGGCAGCAAGAAAGAGACTTCAACAGAGAAACGCGAAGATGTTGTATGGATACACTAAAATTAGCAGAAGCAGACGTTTATCTCTCGATCTCTTGGTCTTTCAAAGAGTACTGTATCAAAAATTTTAAAAAGATACGCTCGAACTGAAACAGCAAATGCTCATAAGCATGCGGGAAAACACAGAAAGACGACAAGACGAGATGGCTTGCAGATGAAACTCTTTCAAAGGCTGATCCAAAGAAGTCATCGATCGAGATTTATGCCGATTTGCCTGACAAAGTCAAAAAGGAAATTAGTTCAAAGACCGTACAACGTCAACTCTCCTTAAAGAGTGTCAACTTACACTACAATCACATCTTACACTATCGGTGTGATCGAGAAGAAAAACCCTCCAAAAACAAATCATTTTACACTAAAAAAAGCGACTTGCAACTTTCAGATTCGTATCCTGAATCAACCGTTCACTTGATTTCTTTACTCCCAATTGATTTTTTGTCACAAGTTTTGGCTGAAATCTGGAAATGACAATGTTTTTAGGTCTCTAACCCGGAAAAGTGATGGGTCAAATATTGGTATACTTGGCTCATACGTCTTTTAGTCTGGCTATAGAAGACCGGCCTCGAATAGAAGACGGAGTCTAGGGGTGATTGAAAAAAATAGAAGACCGGTCTTCTATTCGAGTAAATACGGTACCTGTTTTTTTCGGCAAAGGCAAAGGCGTAAATAACGAGACACTTTTCTTGAAAAAAAAGAGAGAGAAGAGATTACCTACGCTTTTATGTCCTACAAAAAGTGATAACTAAAATATTATTTCTGATCTTTTTCCCCTTGTTTATGATCGTCCATATATATTGCTTTTACAGCTGAATTGCTGACGTTTGGAACTAACAAAGGTACCCGTGATTTGGACAGTCTTATTGATTCTATCTTATTGAGGGCAGATGTGAAATTTACAAAGTGAAGGCAAAATATGACTCCAATTACGTTCGCGCTGCTTTGCTTCCGGCATTTTCCTCGCCTTCAGCCCTCCAATCATCCAATACATAACTTTTTCCCTAACAAAAAAAAATTGATGACTTTCCAAAGTTTCCCTTCTTTGCCGTCTCTTCTCAAAACACGGATTCTGGATAAATTGAGGGCGTTTGAGGCACTTCAATTGCTGGAAGTGAATCACGATCTGCGCTCATTCGTCCTATTTTGCGGGCCTATCCCTTCAAATTTCGAACGTGTTGAAGTGGAGCTGTACAACGCGAAAATAGATGAGGACAACGGACGAATTGTGGCAAGTGCGATTGGTATTCAGATGTTATATCACAGTATATCACAAGATGATAACATTTGGCTTTCTTTTTTTAGCGAGCGAAGTAGGTACGCACGAGGTGCGATTGTGCAAGTGAGTCCCCTTCACGGGCGACTTTTTCGAAAGCTTGCACATTTCGTCAAATTGGAAATAAGCTGCATTGAAACCAGCTTTACCAGGAGTTACCCAAAATTTGATGTCCAGAAGTTTTTGCCACTTAATAAGGGAAAGCCTTTGGACTTAGTAGGCTTCGAATTCAAGGGAGATTCAGGCGTCACTCGCTCGCTGCTCTCAATGTATAATACAATCCAATTGTGCAAAGGCGTGAGAATGACTTTTCCAGATGGCAATCGTGATGTTTCTGGTGACGTTAATCGTAAAATTCTGCGATTTATGGAGAATCGCTGGGTGCTCTGTGAGTTTCTCCATTTGGAATTTCTTCGTTTTGACCTTATCCAAGAAAATCTTTCGTTAATGAAAGGAGATGTCTCGTTCATGCTATCATACGATAATTGGGAG